GGGAGCGCCGCCGCACTCTCAAGCGGCGCACTGTAGCAGTGCGCCACCGGGCCGGCCCTCTCTTCATGTTCTGAATTACACATTGAGCTTTACCATGAATGGCTGTGTTTGTTTCCAGGTATAAGCAAAAATTTCATCAGAGAATAAATAAATAGCACCAAGATTGTAACCAACTGGTAGTTGGACAAATTCTATCTTAGACAAGAAACAGCTTAAAAGAGAAAAAATTTCTTTCTATTACCCTCAAACCTTACTATTTATATTATTTGTTTTAAAACTCCCTTAGCATAGATCAGGAATCAGAGGAGTAATGTGTATGTTGCTTTATGATTTGCCATATGTGGTACTCTTGCCTGCCATAATTAAAACTATATATTTGATAAAGTGTGTGTAGGTATGTATGTGTGCATGTATTATTACCCATCCTTACCTTGATAGTATTATAGAGAGATCACTGACTTTGGAGCCATATAGACTCCTCATATAGATCCTATCACTTATGAGTTGGGTCATTTTTGAACCTCAGTTTCCTCACGTAAAATGGAGATGATTTTATTTAACTGCTAGAGTAGTTATGAGTATAAAACAAGATACTGATGTAGGCTGGGTGCCCTAGGAAGCAGGCTCTGAGATAAGGATTTGAATGCAGGAAGTTTCTATAGCCAATGATCCCAGGAAGCATAGGACTGGAAGGAAGCATATGTAGGGTGTGTTATTGACAGGTTACTGCTCTGGGCAACTGGGACTCTTTCCCATTGAAGACCCCTGGGAATCTGTTTAGAATTAGAGTAGAGGTTGGTAAACTATGGCCCACTGTCTGTTTTGTAAATAAAGTTTTATTGGAACACAGCCACGCTCATTTATTTAAGCACTGTTCGTGGCTGCTCCTACATTACGAAAGCAGAGTTGAGCAGTTTACAACAGAGACCATATGGCTCACAAAGCCTAAACTATTTACAATCTGGCCCTTTACAGAAAAAAAATTTACTTACCCTAGAATCAGAGTATGCCTTGGAGTCATCCAACCCAAGGAGTAAGGAAACTGGCGTATCTGTCCCTGATCAGTCCCTGAAAGGTTGAGTGCTGTTTCTTGGGGCCACTATGCTCATGGCCAGAAAAAGTCCAAGAGGCTATGGTGGGGTGGGGGGGCTCCCCAGCTATGGGTACTGCATATAAAGAGCTAGCACATACCCAGCAGGCACTTGATAAGACGGGTCCTTTCCCTTCTCATCTGAGCTTAGTGGTTCTCCATCCTACCAGCTTTTGCATTAGTGCTTTTAGAAAATATTGATGCCATGACCACCCCAGATGTTCTGAATCACTTGGTCTGGGGAGAGTCCTAGCAATCACTATTTTTTGTCCTGAGATTTTCAGTAGTACACACTGCTTTGGACTACTTTTTGTACCCTCTACAAGTATAGCCTTGGTACCTACTCCTCCCAGTTCAGTTTCACAGGTGTCTGTAAAAGATGAGCAGCTTAGCCACAATTGTGATCACCTTAACAAATTTGTAACTTTTGTTCATAGGTATTTACTTTGTGTAGAACAGATAGCCAGGCTATTATTTTCTATTCTCTCTCTTTTTTTTATTGTGGCAAAATACAAATAACTTGAAATTGACCATTTTAACCATTTTAAATTGTACAATTCAGTGGCATTAAGTACATTCATAATGTTGTGCAACCATCACCACTCTCTAGTGCCAATACTTTTTCACCATCCCAAAAGAAAACCCTGTACCCATTAAGCAGTCACTTCCCAACCTCTCCTCCTCCTCCTGCTGGCAACCACTAATCTTACTTTCCATGTCTATGGATTTGACTATTCTGATATTGCATATGAATAATAGAGTTTGTGGCCTTTTGTCTCTGTCTTTTTTTTTTCACTTAGCATAATGTTTTCAAGGTTCATCCATGTTTTAGCATGTATCAGTACTTCATTCTATTCTCCTTTAATGGTAGAAGTGCACACTTAGTTATATAAAAATCACGACCTCCGTTTTGCAGGTGCTAAAACTAAGGCCCACATAATACAGCTCTCCCTGAATTAACTCTAGACCTAGTTCTAACACCTCCGCCTTCGTACTTACAAGTCCACTGTTTTTTCCCTCCATGACACATATGTAGAAAGTTAGAGGAACTAACGAAAAAGGAAGAGAGGAGGTCATTCTTTTTCCATTGTAGGATTTTCCATAAGTAATTATTTGTCAATATTTAATTTTTCTGCTTGGAATATTCCTTCAGATGATTAAAGATATTAACTGATAACTATAAGAATTTAATTTTTAAAGGCACCATGGAATTAAAATGTATATGACTTCCTATTTTCCTTCAAATCAGATTGTCTGAGTGTTCAGAAGGAGGTGGGGCTGGGGGTTGGAAGCGTCTTTCTTATGCCTTTAGTGTCACGTAATGACACAAGGTCAAGGATCCTGCTGTAAATTGAGCTCCCCTGCCAGTGTTGTTCCCGGGCTTCAATCTTCTCTCCTTTGGAGGTCTGCACTTCTGTATTTGGGGTTTAGTCTAGTCTCTGTGCTCCTCTCGAGTGTGTTACTGACAGACCAGGGTCGGCTTGCCCTCTTGCATTAAACAAATGACCTGAAAGTCCAAAAGTTGGTGCAACGATTGGAAGGTTTATTCAGATTACCAGTACTCAACTAAATGTCTAACCAAGCAAACCAAGAGAAAAGAGGAGCAGTGGGGTCCCGTTTATCCTAGTCCCAATCGGTGGTGCTAACCCATTCCACTGACAGTCATTGATAAAAGCAGTTCTCCCCACTGTCGTCAGCATAAAGAAGAAAAGTATTGACTAGATTTAAATCAGAGAAACAAAGCATAGCCAGGAGCCCACCTCTAGGGTGCACCTATATAGAACAGGAGAGGGCTCGGAAAATCAGAAAAAGGTAAAGAGAATAAAGCATTGCCTTGTCAGAATTTAGGCCAGGGACTCCAGGAGAGATCTACCAGCAGCTGAGACATGGGAGCAAAATCGTCCCAGTGGCCACTTGCCTCTTGCAGCTAGAGTCTTCTCTGGTGCCCAAAGCTTTCCAATTTTTGCCAGTGATTAAATTAGGCGGTCGGATTCCAAAGTCATAGAAATGAACAATGTATCCAGCAGTAAGGCAAGCAACACTTTATTAAAAGAGGAGATAGACTTATGCATAAGAGGGTAGCTCCCCGAGGGGAGCTGTTCAGGGTCTTTTATAGGGAAAGGAGTTAAGGGGTATAGGCCAGCGTCACTGGAGGTGGTTCACTCTGTTCTTTCTGGTTGCGTCATGGGCACATGCTCAGTAGGTCCAAGACTGGCAGTGGTGTTCATCATTGTCACCCCAGGAGAGCCATTGTAGCAGTCACCTTAATGCTATGTGCACAGCTGGGAATTCCTAAAGGGATCTTAAGGTTAATCTGTAACTTTTAAATTATGGTAAACAAGCCTTGGGGAGGGGTTTTGCAACTCAGTAAATATGTTTCCTCTCTTATCTCACAGTCTATTTTGTCAGGGCAGGCTGTTTTGTCAGGGCAGCCCATGGGGTCATCATTTGCCCTGGGGGTCTCATGACTGAGGAGTGGAAATGTAACAAAGTGTCCTCTGCAGGGAAAATGGAGTCAGTTTGGTTCACAGGCCTAGCCTTACTCTGTTTCAAATGTATATATGTCTCCCTCACACCTGAAGACTTTTCCTAAGCTGTGGAGACTTTTCTGTGGTTCCTCTTCTTTCCATGTGCATTTGGTGTGGTAGTGCGTGAGGTGAAAACTTTCTAGGAACAGCGCTGAATCTATGACAGACCAGTTCTGGACTCAGGCCCCCTCTACCGGAGCTCTTGACTGGACCAGCCCCACGGAACCTGCAGGGACAGCATTTGTTTGTGGACCTGTAAGAGATGTTTTGCATTTCTCTCTAAAGGGTGAGGGCAGACAGATCACACTTTTAAGTTACTTAAATTATAGTATTTAGCCTAACTTCTGCATGCTTCCTGTGGTTTACCCTTTGATTCATACAGCTCCTTATCAAAATTAGACTGGAGGCCTATTTTCAAGAAAGTGTTTTTGATAACAAACTTTAGAATTTTACTTGGGAATCTACAGTCACCTGTCAGTATAAAGTCCCGATTTGGGCTTTTAAGGTCAATGATGGGCCCTGCGCTTATCTGAATGTTATCTCCCATGCCTCTGGAGGTGGGCTGTCTGCTTGCCCTCTGCTCAGGGGAGAACGTTAGTGTACTTGCCTAGGTTCTATGTCCAGCTCACAATGCCTTCCTCCTTGGTTTTCTCAGTCCTTTTTTGATTTTTTTCTCTTGAAATACAGTAGTCCCCCTTTATCTAGGGGGAATACATCCCAGACCCCCAGTGGATGCCTGAAACTGCAGATAGTATCCAACCCTATATACGCTGTTTT